TTTTTTACTTGGATTTTCGCTGTTGATGTTGATGATGATAATGATAATCAAAGACTAGTGTCGATATTGATGGCAAATTGATGATTACCATAAATTACTGTTGTTGTTGTTGTTCGATGTCATTATTCGATTTATAACATTTTAGGTGACCATTTTTGTTTATAAAAAATAATTTACCGTTGATTTAGTGATGATAAGATCATAACAACAACAACAAAAACTGTAAATTTTGATCTAATAATAGTCTTTTTGTTTTGGAAACAAAACATTCACACAAACACACAGAGAAAGTTCTGTTCGGTTTTTTTCGGTGGCCACAAGTTTTTTGGAAAAAATTGATTGGAAATTTTTTGGTTTTTGAAATGAAGAAATGAAGAGAAGAAGAAATCAATGTTTACTAATTGATTTTTTGTTGTTGTTTCATTTTCCACTGTGTTTTTCCAATCTGTGTGTTTCTTTTAGTGTAATCAATCAATCGAAAACAACGAGAAAAAGAAATTGAAGTAAAAAATCAAGAAAAACCGACGCCCGAATAAAATGAATGTAAATGGGAAAATACACTGGATTAACTTTTTTATTATTATTTCTGGTCAGCTAAATTATCATTATCAAATATGCAATGATGGAAATATTTTATGTCGAAATAAATGAATGAAAAGATTTGAACTTCAAAAAAATTTTCCATCAAAAAAAAAATTTTTTTTGACATGGAATCGATCCGGTCATTTGATGATAATTGAAATCAAAAAAGAAAAAAAAGAAGGAAGGAAAATTTTCTTCTTCCGTTCTTCAATGATGATCATTGTCAATGATGATGATTATGATTAACATTGACATTTGTATTAATCGGAAAATGACAAGAAAGAAAATGGAGAAAATTGAATGTCAAAAATGATTTTGAATTTGTAATATGCAAATGCTGTTTGTTTGTTGCTTGTTTCATTCATTCAACAAATGATTTAATTCAATTGAAAAAAAGAAAAGTTGATTGTTGGAAAAGATTTTTTGGAATTTTGAAAAAAATGATGCGGCTGCTGATGTTGCGAGTAACAAACAAACAAGCGATGCTTACAAAAGGATTATCCACCTGGTGGTTTGTTTAATGGATTTGATTTGATTTGATTGATTGATTTATTTGATTTTGTTTGTTTAAAAGATTATTGTTGTTGTTTAATCTGAAATGAATTATTTTTCGCGTGCAACATTGAAAACATCTTA